TGACGTAAGGTTTTTTGTTCATTTGCTTTAGTTTGATTTATTTTCATAGTTCATGTCCTCGTTCTCAGTGAGTAGAGAGGGTGTTAGTGTTGTCTTGTCATGTCTTGGCTCTTGCCCGCTGAGCCCCCTGTTCCTGTTTCGGGCTTATCCACTGAAGCATGCCTTGTTCCTGTTCCAGCTCAGTAGAGGGAGCCAGTTTAAAGTTCTGCATTTCTCCTGGTATCATGTCTTGTCTCTGCTCTCACCCACTGAGCCCACCTGTCTCCATCTGAGTCTGTCTGTCTGAGATCGCTACTAGAGTCATGGAACTCTGATTCTGCCTGAACGGTTTGTGGATTCCTGGAATCTTGGATCTGTCTGTTCCTGCTCTGATCTGAGACCATGACCGAGTTTCAGACTACTGGATCTCAGAACCGTCCTAGTTTTGCACGGTTCCCCTGACCTGGCTGCTGCATTTGGGGACACTGTGGGCGGCTACACGCCACATCTCGTTGGCAGTCCATAGGCTGGATTCTCCCTCACCCATGAGGATGGACTGAACTGTTGGACCAGGTAAGTGACTCACACTGATAAGCATCTTCCAACACATGATCGTAGTCACTTACAGTCTCCCTGCCCCCCTGCCACCCTCTGCAGCCAGTGCAGATCTGCAGATCCACGCTTTGCTTTCTGTTCTGTTTATTTTTATCAAACATTTTGAAACTTCCCATTGTCTGTCTCGCCTGAATACCGGGTCCCTCTGAAAACCTTGAATGACATTCATCCTTCCAACTAATTTATATGCTCCAAATTTAATTTCACTGTAGACAAATGTCGTCTATGTGATCAAGAAGAGGAATCAACTGAACATCTGGTAAATCACACTGAAGAAAACATCCCTCTCAGTTCTGTTATGATGGATATGCTCATGGATATATGTCACAGTACCTGGCAACCCTATGCGCACAGCTTGCTGGAACACAAGAAGAAGCTCGAACAAATCCATTTGAGAAGTTACCATTTTGAATATGTTTTCTTTTTTAATTGCATGAATTTGAAGTTTTGAGTTCAGCGTCTGTGTCCACTTTTCATCATGCCAACAGCCAAGGAACATTTTTGATGGAGGAAGTCAGTGGTGCACTTTTTAATTTCATGTACAATAGAGCATACTTAACATATGCCAGTGTAACTGCCTTATTTTTTAGTTAGCCTTTTGGTACCCATTGCAATGATAAGAACTGATTTATTTTCATTGTCCTTAAAACTCAGTACTTGAACGTCAAAGAACAGTTTAAGAATGAGGATCCTTCATCAATTCTCAAATACAAGGCAGGAAATGGCAAATAATTACCTTGTGGGCCAATAGAAATTATTATTAATAGAACTTAATAATATCCATTTTTCTTTTACAACCAAATATTGGCAAGTATGGTAGTATGACCATAAGTAGTTGCATTCCAATATAATGCAGATTAAGTTTATAATAATATGGCACTAATGTGGTTTCAAGGGCAATGCTAAAATTGAAATATGTCCTTTCAAAACACTCTTCATAAAGTTTATTTAGACATTAATAAACATTTTAAAAAGTGCACTGAAACAGAAGCAACCTTGGAAAGTAAAACAATAGGAGGAGCCTCATAAGCAAATGTTTCTCTATGTAAATATTCTGTTTAATCTGATGGAACAACGCGGTTTAAAAAGCAAACTGAGAGTTGTTTTGGTAAACTGAAATTATCTTCTTAACGAGTAAATGTCTTTAGCATCTAAAGTGAATGATTGAGCAAGAGAATAAAACAGCCCTTGCCTTCCTAATTGCGTGACAAATTCCATCTCACAGTCAATACTGTGCAACAAGTTACAACCCTTATAAAGTCTTTACAGGTTTGACACTAAAGGTAGTTGAAGAGAACACCTTAGGTAAGCTGTTAATTTTTGGTTTTATGCAGAGCAGCAGTTTAGGATTGAATCTGTTGTTGGATGAAAACAAATTTCAGTAAATATTCCTGTTTATTCTTTTACATGGTGATAGCAGGTGGCAAATAAGAACCACAAACCAAAAAATGTTTTTGTTAAATGTTTATCATATGACCAAAAAAATTAAATAAAAAAACAGTAGCCTGCTTTTTGACACAAGATGGCAGCAGAGTCTGTTCTCAGATGATGTGTATCCACCATGTATTACGCAATTTTAACAACAAAATATGTCTAAAGATAACTTATCTGTCTTTTTTTCTTTCAAAATCTTTTATTGTTTCAAATTGTTTCCATTTTGGGTGACCTTGAAAATGATCTTAGAGAGATTAATCATAAGCTAAACATCACAGCGCTAAAAATGTAATAGACTCAAAAGCTAAAAAGTTATCCAGCCACCTTTATTTATATATATATATATATATATATATATATATATATATATATTTTTATATATATATATATATATATATATATATATATATATATACATTTTTATGGCTTATTTTTGTCACGAAGTTCTTAAATCTGAAAAAGAAGGACCGATCCATATAAAAATCTGTGAAAAAAAGTTTCACATCTATGTATAAAAAGCAAACTTGAAAAAAAAACAAAAAGTCTTGAAGAATGACACAGAGTAAAAAGAAAACTGACAGTCATCAAAGAGCAGGGTCATGTAACCAGTGTGCTGTGTTTTAGTGATCGATTGCAAATAGAAAAGTGTATCTAAATATCTGATACTAGAAAATAGTATTCTCTTGCTCATGTAAAATAAGACTGATATATTTCATTCAGCTTTGATTACCAACATGTGTTTAAAATTAAAGAAAGAGATTTTTCAATTCCTAACTTTACATACTTGTTTATGTGTGTATCTAATGCTTAATATGGCCAAACACTTCCATGTAAGTTTCCTCATACCACAGAACACGTCTCTCAGGTTTAAGGTCTTTTTACCCGACTGCATTTTTTTAGGTCAGGGGTCTTTAATGTTTTTTCCAGGCCAAGGACCCCTAAACTGATGGCGAGATGGAGCGTGGACCCCCTAATTATATAAATTGTATGAAATTGTGTTATATCAAACTGGTCCTATAGTCACTCTTTTATAGATTGTGTAATGTAACTAAAGTAATTTCTCCCTGGGATTATTAAAGTATTTCTGATTCTGATTCCTCGTTGATGGGACAGGTGTTATAAATGAAATGGTGCCCAGCTTTAAAGAGCTCCTGTGTGTCGCTGAATGTGTGCATTGACGACTGAAAGACATCTTCTGCCTCCATTTATCTGTTTTATACATTGTGTTGAATTCATATTAATATGCATTTCAAGACATTTCAATTAGTGGAAAAAATTGCAGGGGTGGAATATTAAAAATAAAGTCTAATCAACCAAAACTTTCGCAACCCCCATGCTGTACCTCTGTAGACCCCCTAGGGATCGTAGACCCCTTGTTGAAGACCTCTATCTTAGGTCATAATCATTTTTTTTAAGATTATTTTGATGTAATTGCTTCTTTCTCACTGATTGGCGGCAATGTACTAATTTGACTGAAGGTATTAATAAGTATAATCTTCAATTAAGTTTATTTAAAACATTTAACAGTTGTTCTGTTAGTCATAGACAGATATTTTAACTAAGCAAGTTAACCTTATCCATCTCCTCCATGAGCAGTTTGATTACAGGACACTCTCATGTTATTTATACCCTTAAGGACCAGCAAGCTGCACATACTAAAAGTGGCACCAGTGTGCATTCTTGGGTTGAGGTTGTCAAGGACCCAAATTAGTAGTCTTAGTTGCAACCTTTGAGACCTATCCAGGAAGCAGTTGTCCTTTTTTTCTAACCTGTGGGCCACCCTCCCCCTTGCTACACATAATGGCAACTTTGGGTATCTGGAAAAGAATAAATCAGTCCACAGATCTTTTGTGATATCTTGACTGATATTTATTTTAGATTTTTTCCATAGTGCTACATTAAGGTGTAGTGTGTTTGAGGTTTTGCTCTAAAACACAGCATTATTTTTGCTTATAATGACTCATATCATATAAATTACTGGATCTGAGATTTACAAAGCCATAATATAATATAGTTTTTTTTCCAAATTACATTAACTGAAACTTCTGAATATAAAATAGAGTAATTATGCAATATCTAAAAATATATCACCGCTATGCATCTGACCTAAAGCAAATTCCCTGATAATTTATTTTAAACAACACAGGAAAGGTTTAGTGTAATTTAATGTTAGAAGACGAGAAGGAAAAGTGTTGTGTGCAGTTTTTTTTTTTTAATATGGCTTGAACTGTATGTAGCCTGTCAGGCTCTATCAACTGTGAAACATTAATGAAAAAAAAAAACAAAAAAAACTTTACAAGCACCTGAAGGCATTAACTGGATCAAACCCCCATCTAAACCCCAGGAATGCACCTGCTATTGAAAACAGAAGAAAATTCACCAAGAATATTTCCTGAATTCTTTTTAGATATGATCCATCTGCCAGAATAATGGTCAGATAATAAGCCTGGATCACATAAAAGAGCTTCTGAAGTATTTTCTGACAGGATCCTATAAATGTGTAACAGGTTGCATGTCAGAACCTACAGTCTTACTGCAGTCAAACATTAAATATGAAGGCTTGTGTTGGTAAACTGTGCTCAGCGACTTTACATATTGAAAGGTCAGTAACATTTTACCCTCTGCTGATTCTGAGCCTCAGAGAAAGAATAAATCCATGTGTCATAATTTCAACATGACAATTTATGGAAATTACTGAGTCAGATTTTGTAATATTGGTTAGAGAAATATAATATACCAGTTATATGACATTGTTATGCATTTTTATTTTAAGTATTTAAGATTAATATTATGTCATGGATATGATACAAATATATTTGTAGCATTTTTTGCTATATTCCTATCATTTACACATGTTTCTATCTCAGTAATAGCTATGATATTTTACCTGTAAAACCAAATCAGGCGATATTTATGGAACAAATCTGAAAATGAAATGAATATTTTGATTTCAATCTGCACATATTGCTTACCTTCTGCATAACGATTCACTGTAACTTCTGGCATCTCCTCTAATTCCTTTTTGGTCTTCATTCGGCTGGAATTTCTTTTCAGCTCAGACAAGAACAAGTACTTTTTTCAAAAAGCTTTGAACATTTAAAAGTCTTATCTCGTTAGACCTGAACCAGGAGTGGACTCATGGACAAACACCCAGGTAAATGGGAATAGGGAGACTGCAAATGAGTAACACCTTAATGTCTTGCCTGCCAATCACAGACAAGATGAATTGCATTACTTAAAGTGATAAGGAAGTTTAGGGTGGGCTTTGGGCAGAATAAAGCTATATAAACAAAGGTGCAGTAAAAAGGTAAACTATTTTTAGTACATTCTGACTTTCTCTGTTCTTAATATAATTTTAGTAGGTTTCGACATTTTGATATGTATGATTCACTCCAGTGATAATATATCCACTTTATGCGCTTTTTTTATTGGTTTGCTATTTGATCTTTTACAAACACCAACTCACTCACATAAATTCTCCTCTGACATGCATCCTTTCTCCTCTTACATGTGTTTTATGACATGTAAACCTTTTGAAGATCAGACCTTTAATGTTTAAAACGATTTGGGACCACCAAAAAATGGCTAAATAAATAAAAAAAAAATAATAGAAGCCAGTCCTTGTGCACAAAGCGTGCTACTACATTTGTAAGTCACATTTGACTCACAGATATTGGCACATATATAGTCCAAGCTGGACTTGGACTTGGACTATCTTCCAGGGTAATATCAGCTCACACAANAACTTGTCAATCAGCACCCTCTCATGTTACACAGAGGGCTAGTAGAGCAATGACACACAATTTCTTAGTGCCCCTCTGTGCTACTAAACAAATTAAACCAATTAAAAAAGCCTTTTTGATCATCATGTACCGACAGGTAAATACCATCTCTAAACAAACACCTCCTCATTCTTTCATTAGTGACGTTTTCCAGCAGAGCTTGCTGCCATCTTTGCACAATGAAAATGTCTTTATAGAGCTACTGTATTTATGAACGATTGTCTACATCTTGTCCAACTAATTAATTATCAGAATGAACCATTTTGGAGTAAACTCAGGTATGCATACAGGTATCTTTCACAGTTGGTATTAACCACATCCCAAAACTATGAAATCTAAATTTGAAGCAATCATCTACCTGATTATGCAATCTGTCACTGATTGTGTCAGCTCTTAAAGACAAAGACTACATGTCTAACAGGTACCTCACCTCTTATTTTCTGCACCCATTTGCTTCTATATTTAATATTTATCAAATGATGTTCAATGGTTTAAATTAAAATGTTTCCATTTTCTTAACTCATTTTAATTTGCCTCTTTATACTCTCCCACAGCATTATAGTGTAGAAATAAAATTTTTACTCACAGCCAGATGTAAAAAACTTAATTAAACCCCAAAATGTATATCTGCTTGTTTAACACTCTCTGGCAACAACCATCAAGAAGTTTGAGGATCGGCAATGCATTCTTAAACACAATTATGATTGCTAAATCAAATAAGATGCACCATGGACCACTGTGCTTAGCAGAGGGGGTATTATTCAGCAACACTGGAGGTTACGAGCATGAACTGCCTGTTTAAAATCAAAGCATCTCAAAAAGATTTCAGACTGGACTTAAGCTAGATCACTTCTAAACCTTTACTTTGATTGGGTTGCATTTAAAGAGGGAATGCTTGTTTTGTCAAACGCCATAATCATGTGTCCATGTACTGATGAATGGAGATTCTTACAGAAACACACTAAAGGACTTAAACATCCTTAAGATGTACAGGCTGACCCTTCTTGTTGACAGTTCCCCAGTTGTGTCTCTAGTTAAGTCTGTTGTCCAGGTGAACACCATGGTATTTATACTCCACTTCCAATTATCCTTCAATGATGTTAATAGTTTTCAACTTTGTGTTTCTTCTGAAATATTCCATTTTATCCCTTGTTTTGATCACATTAAGGAATAGATGTGCATTTCCTCAACATGCCACAAAGCTGTCCACCAGCTACCTGCCTTCGGCTTCTTGCCAATCTCTAATGCACCCAACAACTACAGGGTCATTCATGTATTTCGGCAGACAACATGACTCTGTCTTGTGCTGAAAGTCAGAGGTGAATGGAGTAAAAAGAAAAGGTGTGTGAAATGTCCACTGTGGCTGTACCGATAAAAGGCCCTGTACTGCTTTTCACACTGTATATTGTGTTGGAAAGATGTAGTTTTATTCAAATTAATTACTTATTGACTGTGCATATGGAGGATTCCAGGCATTTTAAGTGTATGCTACTAACTTTAATGTGACGGTTTTCTCTGTCAATGGGGTTAATTCTGTAGTACCTTCCAATAAGCCACTGAGAGTATTTCTCACCAAGGAGTGTATTCTCCAAAAGTTGTATTCTTGATTACTCACACACAACCCTATCATAGTAAATTACCAGTTAACAACTAGGTAAAGTTAGAAGCATGATCGGGGCTTTTAGCTAGCAGGAGTTTTGGCCTATGAACTCTCGTGAATTGCTGTATCTGTTTTCTGAGTCTCTAATTTGTCATTTATAAATATTCACCTCAACCAGATATTGCTTTATGCATTCTACTGTAGCTCTATGTATTCTACTGTAGCTCTATGTATTCTACTGTAGCTCTATGTATTCTACTGTAGCTCTATGTATTCTACTATAGGTTTTTTTGGGTGACATTTCCTTGCGAAGAATCTAATTTTGATCAAATGGCCTCAAATAGCTTTTGTTGTGAAACACATTCTGTCTGAGGGATTTTTCTTCTGATCTGACAGAAACCAGGACTAGATGTATCTATAAAGTTTGAACTAATCTATCTTTGCCAAAAAAAAGCCTAATCAGACAGTATACATTACCAGCATGGAATAAGTAAACTTATTTGGTATGATAGTTTTTTTAGCCTTGATAAGTTGAATACAAGAAATGTGTTTTGGATTTTCTATATTGAAATTAGTTCAATCATCCAGTCCAATGTTAAGGTATTCTATCACTTTCTAAATGAACTAAAAAAGGAAACCTTTCATTTGCTGAGGTCTCTTACACAATTTTGGCTTGTTCTCAGTATTTAGAAATACATTTTTTTATACCCACAAACCTTTAGAAGAAATGTGGAAACTTTGTAATATTTTGAAATCAGTCATGCAATAAAAAAGAAATGCAGTATACTGTATAATGGCAACATACAAACAGTTGTATCAGATGCTGGGTCACAGATCATCTAGCTGATCTAGAGGTGGCAAACACAGACCTGTTGGATCTAGAAGTGTTCCCAAGCCAGAACTGATATGTAGTCCATTGAGTTTTCTTGCCAAGATGCCAGGGAAGCATTCTAATCAGATGCCTCATCACATCTGCTAAAAACTTTTTGATGAGAAGGAGCAGTGATCCTAGTCTAAGCTTCCTCAAATGACAGAGCACACTAATCCTATTTGTAAGGCTGAACCCAGTCAACCTACAGCGGGAACTTTGTTAAACTGCTGGTATCTCAGATCTACATCCTATCCTTATAACCATATCTTGTGATTATATACTAAAGCTACGGTTTAGAATATAAGTAGGTAGATGAGTAAAGTCGGGAGCTTTGTTTTTTTTTAGCTCTGTCTTCACAAAAACAGACCATATTAGGGCCAATATTTCTGCATACAAGGGCCAGTCAACTATCCATTTATCACAATTACTCAACATCACTCTTCAACATGAAACCAGGATTCTTAGGCCTTGTCTGCGCAAAAAGGAGAGTAGGTGTATCCTTAGATTTAAACAACTTTTATTGTCATTTGTATACACAGAATGTTAGTGATAAAGTTTCTTTCCAACATGTCCTTGCAATCTGCTGCTTTAGCAGAGAAACATGGTTTAGGTTTTAAAATACTTATACTGCAATTAGTATAAAACGCAAATTCTCATTCTACAATGAGAACATTTAAAGTGAATACAGTATAGGACCAAGAATATAGGGGAGACAAGAGAAAAAAAACAGCAATGACATTTCACACCGAGCATGTTTGCTCAATAATTTATTGCTACTCTTTTGGATCATTAAAAGTTCATGAACATAACTGTTTGAATGACTTTATTAAAGGTTATCTGATTAAGACTTGGCGGGCATGCAGCAAAGGGTCTTTGGTTTGTTACAACATACCTCACTTTTTACGAAGTGTCGGCTTCTTTGTTTATGCCATATATAAAGAGGGGGATTATAAATCTATGCCATGTAAAACCAGTATGTACTTAGTACATATTTTTTTCAGTTACTTGTTTGCTGGTTATTTGCATTCATCAACCGTTTAAAATCCAATGCTTGGACTTTCACATGCACAGCTTAAATTCTTTTTAAATTGGTTGGTTTATGCAAAATGAATAATTTATTTAAAAAAAAGGAAAAGTGTTGCAAAGGTGGTAGCCGGTGCCTAGAGGTTAATGAGCAACAATTAGGTAATGAATGACTGGTTTTTGTTGACCCTAGCTGAGATATTACCTATCTTTGTCTAGGAGTTAAGTCTTAGTGAAATAATAAACCACAACAAGACTGAGAGGTGAACCAGGAGTTTCAGAAACAGGGCATAATAACTCAGATCGGGGACTTATTTTCTGGTTGAGCAGACCTAGGGCACTCATGCAGCACTAATAAGGTTTGGAACTTGCATCAAGGTAGCTTAATGTTGCAATATGGAAAACAAGGAATATATGAGACCCTGATAGTTTTAAGATGATATTTGTAAAACACATGAGCTTCTTTGACCTCATCAGCTCTTTATTAAAAAGTTCAAGAATTAATCCCTAATTTTTAAAATGGCTAAACATTTGATTAGCCTTACAGAACATTTGATTTTAAAGAAGTATAAATTTAGCGTGGTGGTCAAAACCATGGAGAAGAAAACAAAAGCATTTGAGCATATGCCAGTTAGTAATTCACCATAAAGATGGTTTATAATTTTGTCAAATTTGAACCATCCATCCATCTTCCTCTTCTTATCGAAGGTGGGGCTGGTGTCTATCTTCAGCAGTCTATACAGTAAATACCCTGGTGAGGTCGCCAGTCTATTAAGGCAGAGACATACAATAATGTGCATACAATGACAGTTAAAGGCAATTTAGAGATGCCAATTA